GCCTATCATTGTCTAGCTCTCACTCTTATATTCAGCCCATTTCTATTAATCTTTACTTTGCCACGTGGCTCGTGGCTTACCGGTACTTTACAGCTTCCTTGTCTTGGCAGTGGCTCCAACTCGTCTCCCTTTCCTTCCTCCTTCCTCAATTCTCCTCTCTCCTTGTCCCGCCTATACTTCCTGCCTGATCACTGGCCAATCAGTGCTATATTTATATCAAGCAATATCCACAGCACTTCCCTTTTTTTTTTCTTTTTCAAAAAGGAAGGTTTTAACTTCAACATAGTAATATTACATATAACAAAATACTTATCGAGTAAGAATTATAATTACAATATAAAAGAAGATATCTATCTTATATTTGTGAGTTTAAGGTTTTATCCTTTCTGGACAAGCGGGACACAAGGAAAGCGACCACTGTACTCTGCCAAGACAGGGTAAGATGGTCTTTCAGAATTCCTGCTTCTGAAAATGGTCTGTCAGATACTTTAGGCCTGCAGCCAATTTGAATGCACCAACAATGCTGAGAAACATTAGGTGACTGTCCAGGCTGCCAGCTGTCTCAGTCTACTCTCGCAAGATTCCCGAAAGTTGCTTGCATCCATCTACCATTTCTCAGGTACCATTATATTCCTTCTCAGGTCTTTGATGGGATTGAAGACTAGCAGTTATAGTTACAACTTAGTAGATAGAACATATTAAGTATTAGATTCAGGTTCTTTAGGATAGGACACCTTTTGGAATGATCTTTGTAACATGCCATTTACCTATGCTCTATACTTCTCTGGATTTTAGTATGTGTTTCTTGCTTGATATTGTTTGCATTGGTTGTACTTCCATCTTATCTAGGTCATTATCCCTCATTATTCCTGGACAATATTTGATAACCATTCCTTTGTATATAGTCTTGTATTAGGTTAGAACTTTCGTATTTAGACAAAAAGGGGGAGATGTAGTGGGTAGCCATTCCAGCTTTGATCTGGAAGTTTCAACCCCCATTGAGACTTCGGCAAATGTCACGCCTACAAGGCGGGGCAAAAGGAGGCACCTGGGGACCCGAGATCTGGATCGGCGGGCGCTCTCTGTTGCGGGACCCTGGACTGGAGAGGTGGACTGAGCAGAGCTCCAGAGAACACCGCTGGACTGTGATACACCTTCCCCAGACCCCGCGACCTACCTATCCCTTTATTTGTAAGTTATGCCATTAAATAAATCTCCCTTTAACTACGTGGAGTGGCCTTAATAATTTCACCAATACAAGTCCTTTGCATAATTAGAATGAGCTCCATAAAAATCATAATCTATTTTGATGTGCTGTGTACTTGTGTTGCTAGTACTGTTAAGACTATTTCATAGCTGTGCATGGTAGCTTACACCTATAATCCCAACACTTGGTGGGTGAAGCAGGAAGATTACCACTAGTTTGAGGCCTCACAACTACATAAAACCCCACTGATTCCACTTAGAATCATCAGTACATGTGTGAACAAAGGACCATACATACTGGGGTATGGGTAATATTTCATAGGCCTTATCCTTGAAGAAAACTGACTCTCCTTCCCTAACAACTGTTACTTGTTAATAGCCTCAGATAGTCTTTTAATAGGTATGTTACACTTATTTGCATTTTTGTATATACACTTATTTGCATTTTCATATAGGTTCAGTTGTGTTGCATTGTATATGCATCACACACACAACATTAGATTAGGTATTTTTAGTTTCTTTCTCTTTTTATTTGGCATTTCTAGTATTTATTGCTTTATCGTTGGAACTACTTTTTTGTCTTTTTAAATTTTTCTCATTTATTGAAAATAGATTCTTTCCTCATACAATATATTCTGATTATAGTTTCCCCTCCCTCTATTCCTCTGAATTCCTCCCCATTTCCCCTCCCCTCTGGATACATTCCCTTTGTCTCTCAGTAGAAAAGAACAGGCTTTTAGGAAATAACACCCAAACATGACAAAATAAAATATAAGATAAAACAAAACCAACCACACTGAGTCTGAACAAGGCAACCCAACAGAAGGAAATAGCCCCAAGTGCAGGCACAAGAATCAGAGATCCACTTATTCATACACTCAGGAGTCCCATAAAATACTAAGCTGAAAGCTATAGTATACATGCAGAGGACCTAGTAAGACCCATGTTGGCCCTGAGCATGCTGCTTCAGTCTGTGTGAGTTTATATAAGCCTTGCTCAGTTGATTCAGAGAGTCTTGTTCTCCTTGTGTCCTCCATCCCTTCTGGCTCGTACACTCTTTCTGCCTCCTCTTCTGTGGGGACCTCTGAGTCCTGAGGGGAAGGATTTGATGGAGATATACCATTAAGAGCTGTGTGTTCCAAGGTCTCTTTCTCTGCATGATGTCTGGCTGTGAGTCTCTGTATTTGTTCCCACCTGCTTCTCTGATGATGACTGAATAAAGCACTAATCTATGAGTACAGCAGAATATCATTAGGAGTCATTTTATTGTTGTAGTTTATTAGACCAGTAGTATTTGGTTTTACCCTAGGTTTCTGAGTTAGCTAGTCTCTGGTTCTTGGTCACCCAAATAGAGTAGGGTAATGGGTTCTATCTCGTCAAGTGAACCTAAGTGAAATCAGACATTGGTTGGATACTCCCACAAGTTCTGTGCCACCGTTGCTCTAGCATATTTTGCAGGCAGGATAGATTGTAGGTCAAAAATTTTGTGGCTGGGTTGGTGTTTATGCTTCTCTTTTGGTAGCCTGCCAAGTACCTTCCCACACCAAAGATACTAGAACATAAGAGTGAAAGCTCGCCGGGCGGTGGTGGCGCACGCCTTTAATCCCAGCACTCGGGAGGCAGAGCCAGGCGGATCTCTGTGAGTTTGAGGCCAGCCTGGGCTACCAAGTGAGTTCCAGGAAAAGGCGCAAAGCTGCACAGAGAAACCCTGTCTCGAAAAACAAAAAAAAAAAAAAAAAAAAAAGAGAGTGAAAGCTCTATGCAGGCTCCAGGTCAACTTCATGTTCAATGAGTTGTGTGAGTGTTGTCCTCAGCAACGGGACCCCTGCTGTCAGTTTGTAGAGAGCAACCCATTCGCTATTTTAACAACAGCCTGTGTTGTTTGTGGATTGCCATGGCCCTTGGCCAACAACTCAGCTGTGGAACTACTTCTATATTAACTTCTAAATTATACCTCTAATCTCCTTAATATAAAGATAATTCCAAGTAATTAATAATAAGCAAATATATCAATAGATAAATCATGTTAAAAAAAACTACATGTAGTAACAGTGATGTACCTCTGTAGTCTCAACGTTCAGGAAGCTGAGGCAGAAGGATGTCCATGAACTCAAGGCCAGCCTGAGCAACACTGTGAGGTCTAGGACAACCTTTGCTATACAGAAATACTCTGTATCAGAAAAGAAATAACATCGATCTGGAGAGGTTGCTCATGGTTAATGTCTTAATTAGGGTTTTTATTGCTGTGAAAAGACACCATGACCATGGAAACTCTTATAAAGAAAACATTTATTTGGGGTGGCTCATTTGCAGTTTCAGAGGTTCAATCTACTATCATCATGATGGGAAGCATGGCAGCATGCAGGGAGATGTGGTGCTGGAGCTGAGAGACCTACATCTTGCAGGCAACAGGAAGTCAACCAACTGTCACACTGAAGGAAGCTTGTGGAAAAGAGACCCCAAAGCCTGCCCCACAGTGACACACTTCCTCCAATGAGGCCCCACCTCCTAATAATGCCACTTCCTTTGGAGGGCATTTTCTTTCAAACCACCACAGTTAGGAGCACATATTGCTCTTAGAGAGTCCCTGGGTTCAGTTCCCAGTACCCAAGTCGGGCTTGCTATGCAAGTGTGAGAGCCTCAGGTCTACTTCCAGCGTCTGTGTCGAAGCTGGGCTCAGTGGAGTATGCCTGTATACCAGTGCTGGGTCTCTGGCCCTTATTGGTAAGCTAGTCTAGCCAATCTTTTAACTTTTTCATACCCGCCTGCACATATGCACAAACATAAATAATAATGGTAATGATAGATAAAAATTAAAAAAATATTTCAGACATTCAACCCTTATGGAATATGAGAGCTGACTATATGCTTATCATAGCACATAAAACGTAACATATGCATTAGAAACTCACATTTCCATCCTTCATTACATTAACCTTCTTCCCAGAACTAACGCTCTACAGACTTTGAAGTTTTTATTTTTAAGATGCTTCTTTATAGTTTTGTCAACACATAATTAGTGTACTTTATTAGTATCTCATTAGTATTATATATATATATATATATATATATATATATATATAGAGAGAGAGAGAGAGAGAGAGAGAGAGAGAGAGAGAGAGAGGGGGGGTTTAGAGAGTTTGCTTGGTAGCATGTTTATGCTTTTATCAATAATGTTTGGTCACTACTCATGCAGGAGGAAGAAACAGAAAAAGAAAGTATACATACATCTTTACCTCTTGACAGTAGTAATAGCCACATGTGCCTCCATGTCATTTTATGTTCAGACTCATTACGAAAGTTTTCAGTCTCTATGCTGTGAGAAGCATTGACAGAATCTTTAGGTGCAATTCTTATACATTATTCTGTGGATGTGCTTAGAGCCATACAGTTTCAAGTAACAATGCATCAGTGCATCTTGACTGTAAAACATCTTCCCATTTGTCCCTGTCTAATGTTTTCATCTTTAATTCAAACTGTTGCTCCTCAAATTTTTTTCCGTACCTCCAGAACCCAATCTTCACCATGCAACTTAAAGACAAAGCTTTCTAGGAGTTGATTTGCTTGTGTTCAGACCACTCGACTGGTTTAAAAGTGCAACCTACACAGAACTTGATCTGATTCTGCACGACAAGTCCTGAACAGTGTACACTTTCTTCTGTGAGTTTCAGTAGCACAAAGAATTTCCTGTGAAAGTGGATTAATTTCATATGCGATCCCTCCTGGGGCCCCAGGCTGACTCAGCTTTTACCCAGAATCCCTGCTGTTACAGTCTCTCTCCTGGATGCTGTGGAGCTTGAGTATTAAGTAGATTTTCTACAGATTCTCACCCTTGCCTCCTTTGTGGGGTCATTCATTGCTGGACCGAGGACCTGGTGGGTCAACAGAGGAGCCTGCTGACAATACAGGGGACTTTAACTGGAGAGTGCCTGGAGAAGCAGCCTGAGAAACAGCACTTCATTTTGTATCCTTCGCTGAAATCTGGGGAAGTGGAGACATGCTTTGACTGCTTGATGAATGCAAAGCTTATCTAAGAGAAGTGCCCACCCATCTTCTAGGTAGCTGTATTTTAATCCACAGCTGAAGCTTCCCAGTTCTTAAACTGCTGTGAACAGATTCATACATTTGTTCTGAGATGCTAATGCTTAAATATCCTTGGCCTAAGGATATCCCCAGCTCTAACACTGTTGTGCAACACTAGTCCGTGTTGCCCTCCTTAACTGTCAGCACTTGCAATTACCCAAAGGAGAACTGCAAAAGATTGGGCCTATTAACTTACTCACAAGGTCCTTCCTCTACCAAAGGATTTATACTGACAGTTAACAGTTACTGTAGGAGAAAGATTTATGGCCATCCATAAGTTACCAAAATTCCAGTAAGTAATCTGTCACCCATGCTCCTGTAATGAAACCTATTGGTTCTCGAGGCTACACTTTATTGGAATTGTTTCTTTGTTTCAGTCACTGGTGCCTATTTGCAGTGAGTAGATATTTTCCCACCTCTTCCTAGAAAAAACAAATTCACATAATAGACACTAAGCCCTTTCCTATGATGAGGACTGGGAGTATTTGTTTTTCTGGTTTGTTTGTTTGTTTGTTTAATTGCTTAAACCCCTGTGTGCCTAGCCTGGTAGTACTCACCGGATCCCAGCACTGAAAAAGCAGAAGTAGGAAGGAAGTGGGGGATGATGTCTATTGTAATTTATAGCTGGGTACAGTGGTAAGAAGGGCTCAGTCCTTAAAAATCCAAAAGGCTGTGGGATGTTCTGTATGTCAAATGTGTTGCTCTGATTGGTTAATAAATAAAACACTGATTGGCCAGTAGTCAGGCAGGAGGAAGTATAGGCGGGACAAGGAGGAGAGAATTCTGGGAAGTGGAAGGCTGAGTCAGAGAGACTGCCAGCCGCCGCCATGACAAGCAGCATGTGAAGATGCTGGTAAGCCACGAGCCACATGGCAAGGTATAGATTTATACAAATGGGTTAATTTAAGATATAAGAACAGTTAGCAAGAAGCCTGGTACGGTCATACAGTTTGTAAGCAATATAAGTCTCTGTGTTTACTTGGTTGGGTCTGAGCAACTGTGGGACTGGCAGGTGACAGAGATTTGTCCTGACTGTGGGCCAGGTAGGAAAACTCTAGCTACAGTTGAGAGTATGTAGTTAAGCGATGGATCACTTGTTTGGCACCCAGGAGGCTGTGGGGATCAGCCTAGTGCTTTAAAACCACAAGAAAGAGAAGGATTGCAGTTGAGAAAGAGGTATCACTACTTCAACTTAACAGAATCTGCTCCAAGTGCTCTCACAATGTCCTTGCACATGTTAGGTACCACACCATTCGGAGAAGTACACAATGATGTGACAGGTCTAGCATGCAATGGTACCCATTTAGAGACCATTCCAAACAAGGGTGGTCAAATAGAGGTGAGAAAAGGTCAACTGGGCCTCAAAGCAGGCTTCTTCTTGTCTCCACATAGGCCAAGGAAAGGCCTAGAGGAAAGATGAGAAAATCCCCATGCTTCACAACTTCTCAAAACCGGAGAACACCTAGCCTCTCATCGCTGGAGGCTTGGGTGGCTGTGGAACCCACTGGAACATCCAGGAGAAAAGGAAACCCAGCAGTGGCTGAGGCCACTGTCTAGTACTGTTTTCCCTTGTCTCTCTGTCCTCCCCACCCACCAAGGAAAAAATGGTAGTAACACTTTAAATTTAGCAGAAGCATTTCCAGAAAGTGCTCCCTACCCTGTTAAAAATTCTCTCTTCCCATTTTGTAGTTAATATTGATCTTCTTTTAGAAACACAGAATAATTATACTTCACAGCCATTTTAGTCATTTGTATATTTACAAGAGTAGGTGCATGTTATGGGTAAAAACAGTTGACACAGAAGAGGAAAGACTAATATTTCAAATTGTAACAGGCCGCCCATCCCTTTCAGTGATTTTTACCTCTCTCTCTCTCTCTCTCTCTCTCTCTCTCTCTCTCTCTCTGTGTGTGTGTGTGTGTGTGTGTGTGTGTGTGTGTGTGTGTGTTATGTATTTATAACTAATCACATTCATCCTGTGATCTTGCTTACTTCATCATGTTGGGTGGAATTGTGTACTCCCAATGTGGTGATCTCTATATCCAACAACTGTGCCATTAGGAAAGGGAGTGAGATTTGATACACAAAGGTGAAGAGGAAGGCAAATCTTGTGGTAGCATCATCACAAACTAAGCAAAGGAGGATCCACTAGAACCCAAAATAGCTATGGTAGGATTTTAGCCTATAGCATGCAGGAACAGGGCCCTGCATGATTTAAGTTTAATATTCTTAGCTTTTTTTATACTTAAGAACAAAGAAGCCAGTCAGTGATGAAGAATGCCTTTAATCGCAGCCCTAGGGAAGCAAAGGCAGGAGGATCTCTGTGAGTTCAAGGCCAGCCTAATCTACAGAGCAAGTTCCAGAACAGCCAAGGCTACACAGAGAAACCTTGTCTTCAAACACCAAAAAAAAAAATCCAAAAAAACAAACAAATGCAACAACAACAAAGAAAATAAATCTCTGATTTAAAGCCATGAAGATACCAGCTGTGGTGGTGGCTCATGCCTGTAACCCCAGCACAGAACTGGGACAGGTGAAGGTGTGAAGATTGCCAGGAGTCTAAGGCTAGACTGGGCTATACAGTGAACTCTAGGCCAGTCTGGTCTACAGTGTAAGATTCTGTCTTAAGAAAACAAAGGAACTATAAGTTTCCCCATCATGATCTTGATGCCACTTGCTCATGGAATCCCTCCTCCTTCTCTTTAACTGGACTCCTGGAGCTCGGCCTGGTGCTTGGTCATGGATCTCTGCATCTGTTTCTATCAGTTACTGGATGAAGGCTCTGTGATGACAGTTAGGGTATTCACCAATCTGATCACTGGGGTAGACCTGCTCAGGTACCCCTCCACCACTGCTAGTAGTCTAAGCTGGGGTCGTCCTTGGGGATTCCTGGGAATTTCCCCAGCACCCAGTTTCTCCCTATCCCCATAATGTCTCCCTCTATCATGATATCTCTTTCATTGCTCTTCCACTCCATCCTGTTCCCTTATGTTCTCATCCCCCATCCCCTACCCTCCACTGCCCCCTCTCACCCCCAGTTTACTCATGGAGATCTCATCTATTTCCCTTTCGCAGGGCATTCCATGCGTCCATCTTAGGGTCCTCCTTGTTAGCTAGCATCTCTGGAGCTGTGGATTGTTGCCTGATTATCCTTTGCTTCATATCTAGTATCCACTTATGAGTGAGTACATACCATGTTTGTCTTTCTGAGTCTGAGTTACCTCACTCAGGATGATATTTTTCCAGTTCCATCCATATGCCTGCAAATTTCATGCTGTCATTGTTTTTCTCTGCTGAGTAATACTCCATTGTGTATATGTGCCACATTCTTTATCCATTCTTCAGTTGAGGGGCATATAGGTTGTTTCCAGGTTCTGGCTATTACAAATAATGCTACTACGAACATAGTTGAGCATGTGTCCTTGTGGTATGATTGAGCATTCCTTGGGGATCAAGACCATGATGGGGAAATTTACAGATACAACCAAACCAAGCTAGTGGGAACTCATGAACTTTGGACCAACAGCTGTGGAGCCTGCATAGGACTAGACTGGGCCCTCTGCATGGGTGAGACAGTTGTATGGCTTGGTATGTCTGAGGGGCCCCTGACAGTGGGAATAGGATCTACCATTGGTTCATGAACTGGCTTTTTGGAGCCCATTGCCTATTGTGGGACACCTTGCACAGCCTTGATGCATGGGGAGGGGGCTTTAACATGCCTCTATTAAATGTATCAGGCTCTGCTGACTCCCCATGAGAGGCCATACCTTTTCAGAGGAGGGGATGGGGGGTAGCTGGGGTGGAAGCCTGGGAGGGCAGTAGGAGAGATGAGGGAGGATCTGTGGTGAATATTTAGAATGAATAAAAAATTTCTTAATAAAAAAAATTAAGAAAACAAAGGAACAAATGAAGAAGCAAATGATAAACACATAAAGGTTGTGCCAACCCTAGGAAGTTAATGCAATCACAGCCTGCATTGTTGTGCTAGAAATGGCTGCTTCCTTCTCACATCTAGTTTATCTGTAGTTTTCAGAGTGTAGGCTTTCATGTATTCCCATGAAGAAGGCTATTTTCATCTTCCTCTCTCTTAAATATCCCATTAAGAACTTCAAACAATTCCAACTTGGTTGTCATAGATCACCTTAATTTGTGTTAGTCTTTGAATACCTTTGTTTTTCATCAGTTATGAAAGACAGTGCTGCAGGGTATAGCATTCTTGGTTCAAGGTTGCTTACTTTCAGAGACTGGACTATTTCGTTCCATGCTTTTCTGGCTTTTCTGATAGCTGATGAAAAGTCTGGGTCATTCTGATATTTCTACCTTGTCTGTGAGTTGTCATTATTCTCATGGTGCATTTAGGATTCTTTATTTTGTATTTTAGACATCCTGACTATGTCATGGAGAGTTTCTTCTCTGGTCATGTCTGTTTGCACTTCTACATGCCTCTTGTGTTTGGAAACCTACCCAAACACTCATCTCTTTCTGTAAAATTGGCTTTTCTGCTCTAATTTCATTAAATAGTTTGTCTATTCCATTTGATTTTATACACCAAGAATTCTCAGATTTGGCCTCTTGAACGTGACTCAGACTTCTTGAAATTATTATTCATGATCCTTAGCTTCCACCTTTCATATGTCTGCTTGTATTATTGGCTTGATTTTGTCCTCTGTCCCTGAAATTCATTCTTCTGCATGGTCTTGTCTACTAATGATAATATAACGTTGTTGATTTAATTGAACATCTCTTTCATTTCACATATTTCTGTTTATTTTTCAATGTTTCAATCTCTTTGCTAAAATTTTCCTCCATATTTTAAACTTTCTCCTCTAGTTAAATTGTTACATTCACTTTAGAGATTGTCTTGTCAAGATCTTGGATAGGTTTCCTTAATTCCTGAACTGATTTATTCAATTCTTCTATATGATCACTAATTACAGAGAAAGTTGAAATGTCTGAGAAAGAATTTAGAGCTTTATTGTCTCAGATAATTAGTGATCATATAGAAGAATTGAATAAATCAGTTCAGGAATTAAGGAAACCTATCCAAGATCTTGACAAGACAATCTCTAAAGTGAATGTAACAATTTAACTAGAGGAGAAAGTTTAAAATATGGAGGAAAATTTTAGCAAAGAGATTGAAACATTGAAAAATAAACAGAAATATGTGAAATTAAAGCTCTAAATTCTTTCTCAGACATTTCAACTTTCTCTGTAATTCTTTATTCCCTTATAGGAAAGTTGATTGGTGATAGGCCATGTCATGAGTTATGGTTATGTCATATTTTTTGTTTTCCTATGTTGTGTTTTATGAATCTGCTAGAATTGTTTGGCTTTGACTTTCTCTTATTCCAAGCCAATTGGGATATTTTGTTTCCTATGGCTCTTCTTAGAGGAGAGCTGCATGAAATTCAGCTGTGGGGACCAGGGAAACTTGGTGTTCAGTATGAAATGAGTTGCTTAAGTGATCCCATCTTGGCTTTGTGCCTACAGGAATGAAGTGTGGATCTGGACATTCAGCACCTAGATAACCAGATGGACTCAACTCAACCCTTGGATTCTATGAACCTACTGGAGGTAGGATACAAATTTCACGTCCACTGACATCTGTCTACTACCTAGAGACTGTGCGTAGAGCCATAGTCCCAAAGTAACCTCTGGAATGACAGCAGTATACCGTCTAGGCCCTGCAGTGACCATTGGAAACTCAGAAATCAGAATTCCAGCAGTCTGTTGTTGTTGCTCTAACAAAGAATTGAAAGAATTAAATGCCAAGGAACTAAGACCACCAATTAACAAATGGGTAAATGAATACAGTAAACAGTTTTCTAAAAAAAAAATACAAGTGGCCAATAACTATATTTAAAGGTGTTAAATATCCCTAGCTATTAAGAAAGTGCAGCCGGGCGGTGGTGGCGCACGCCTTTAATCCCAGCACTCGGGAGGCAGAGTCAGGCGGATCTCTGTGAGTTCGAGGCCAGCCTGGTCTCCAAAGCGAGTTCCAGGAAAGGCGCAAAGCTACACAGAGAAACCCTGTCTCGAAAAACCAAAAAAAAAAAAAAAAAAAAGAAAGTGCAAATTAGGATGACTTTGGGATACTACCTCATCCCAGTCAGAATGCCTATCAATGCTTAATGATAGGCATTCTGACAAAAATTGGAGAGGATGCACAGAGAGGAACACTTATTCACTGTTTGTAGGGGTGCAAATTAATTCCGTCATTGTGGAAATCAGTTTGGAGGGTTATCAAAAAATTAAAAATAGAACTACCATGTAGCCCAGCTGTTTCACTATAGGGTATGTAGGGAAAAGGGGCTGGCTAGAGAAACCCACCCTGACCCTGGAGCCCAGAATTAGGGAAGGATGGCTCAGATAAAGCCAGTGAGAGAAACACAGTTTAGCTCAGATCAGAGCCATCTCTGCCCCTGTCCAACTGACTTGTGAAATCAACCAATCACAGAGCACGACAGCAGAATCCTGGCCCTAGGGCTCAGGACCAGAGAAAGAAACAGAGCCTGTGTTTGGGACCTGGGCCAGAGAAATGAACCAAGGAAACATGCCCTGACTCTGAAACCAGTACCAAAGAAACACTCTTGGCCCCTAGAATCAGAGTCAGTGAATGAAATGTGCCCTGGCCTTAGAGGTAGTGACAGAAAGCTAAGTAAGGCCAGTGAGAGAAACACAGTTTAGCTCAGATCAGAGCCATCTCTGCCCCTGTCCAACTCACTTGTGAAAACAACCAATCACAGAGCAGGACAGTAGAATCCTGGCCCTAGGGCCCAGGACCAGGGAAAGAAACACAGCCTGTGTTTGGGACCTGAGCCAGAGAAGTGAACACTTTATTCCCAAACCCAGAACCCAGGAAATATGCCCTGACTCTGAGACTAGTACCAAAATATCACTCTTGGCCCCTAGAATCAGAGTCAGTGAAAGAAATATGCCTTGGCCTTAGAGGTGGTGTCAAAAAGCTAAGAAAGGCCAGTGAAAGAAACACAGTTTGGCCCTGAAATCAGGGCCATCTCTGCCCCTTGCTCACAAAACTGGCCAATCCCTGGCAGAAAATAAACTAACCAATCACAGTTGACTCCGCCCCATAGACATTCTATATAAACTGCCCTGCCCAGTCAGTTGTGAGCTGTTCTCTCCACCCTGGTAGAGGCAGCTACTCTTCTGGACTCCTCCTTCCCAAATAAACCTCTTTCTCAAAAGAGTATTGGGTGAAGACCTTCATTGACAGTTGAACAGAAGAACCTTGTTGGGACGTCCCATAGTGGACTGAGCAAGGGGGAGCTGAACAGAAGAACCTTGCTGGGACATCCCATAGTGGAATGAGCAAGGGGGAGCTGAACAGAAGAGCCTTGCTAAGACGTCCCATAGTGGACTGAGTGAGAAAGAGCTGGTAACACTGAGCTGGAGATTGTGTCTCTCCAGGAGAGGAGCAGGATTGCTGTGTCCTGTGGGGAGACCATCCCCCATCATACCAGGTATATCCTGACTTTCCCGAAGAGTCAGGATACCCTTCCTTGCTGAAGTAGTTCCAGGCCTGACTCTCCTGAGAAGTCAGAAGACCTTCCTTTCCAAGGTTGGGCTGTTTCTTTGCAGTCCCAGCCATCAGAGCTGTGCTAAACAGCTCCAGGTGTCTGGGACACCTTTAGGGCAGAGCTCTTGTCCTGAGTAGCTCTGAGGTGTCCAGGATACCTCGCCCTCTAGGGCTGAACTACAGTTCTGCCATCACTGCTGTGCTAAACAGCTTCAGGTGTCCGGGACACCTTCAGGGCAGAGCTCTTGTTCTAAGTAGCTCTGAGATGTCCGGGATACCTTGCCCTCTAGGGTTGAACTGTCTCCTCGCAGTTTCAGCCATCAATTTACTTACATTTGGTGCTGAAACCCGGGACACCAAACCCAGAGCTTTTGCAGTTTACTAACATTTGGTGCCAAAACCTGGGACACCAAACCCAGAGTTTTTGCAGTTTACTAACAGGGTATATGCCCAGACAACTTCCTACTCTACCATAGAGATATTTGCATCTCCATGTTTATTCTATGCTACTTTATTCTCTATAGCAAAGAATTGAAATCAATCCAGTTGTTCATCAACAGATGAATGGTTAATGAAAATAACATATATGAATATTATTAAGCTCTAAAGAAAAATATAATAAAATATTATGGGAAAATTGATGGATTTAGAATATATACTATTAACCCAGGTGATACTACTTCAGAAAGAAAGAAAAAAACCCACAAGTTCTTTATATAGGAGCCTAGCTAATAATGTGAGTATATATGTAAGCAAATATACATATAAGTACAGTATAACATGTAGAAAACAGAAGAATAATGGGATTTAGAAAATGAGGAAGGAAGGAATTCAGGTTAAGGAGTGAATGCAAGTAATGAACATTACTTATGAAAGAGGATATCAAGTTAATTGTTTTTCTAGTTCTAATTCTGTCATGGATCTTTCATTTTTTGGTGGTTGACAAATGAATAAAAATATATTTGCTATTGAACATGTAAAATCCAATGTGAAGCTCCATAGCTTCAGAATGGATATCTGTATAGAAGTTTATTGAGAGGTACATATTTTAGGTCTAGTTAATATCAGTGTGTGGTGTTTTTTTCTTGCACAATGTTTTTAATTGAAAATAGATTTTTTATACAATCTATTCTAATTATGTTTCCCCTCCCCCACCTCCTTCCAGATCCTCTCCACCTCCTCATTCACCCAAATCCACACCATTTCTTGCTCTCTCTCATTAGAAAACAAGCAGGCATCTAAATCAAAAAGAAAAGGAAAGAAAAAATAAAATAAGATAAAAATAAGCAAAACTGAATAAAGCAAAACAAAGGATCAGGAAAAAAAGCCAAAGAAAAAAGCACAAGAAACACATATAGATGCAGAGACAAGTCCACACACAAAGAAATCCCATAAAGGCACAAAATTGGAAACCATAACATGCAAGCAAAAGACCTGTAGGGCCCAGACAAAGCATTATGAGGGGGAAAAAAACCTCCAAAAATGCCATTGAGTTCACTTTGTGTTTGGCCATCTACCGTTGGGCATGGGACCTGCCCTTAAGTGTGATCTGTATAGCTAGTGAGACTTCACTGGAGAGAACCAATTTTTCATTTGCAAGCAGTTGTCATTTGGTGATAGCTGTTAGGTTAGGGATGGGGGCTTGTATCCACTCCTCCTCTCAGGATCCCATCTGGCTTAGACCTGTGTAAGCCCTGTGCATGCTGCAAATATTTTTGCCATGGTCCCTGTGAATTCATATATATTTGCACATTTTTTATAGTAAAGGCCAGCGCTGAAGACACAAATGCAAGTAACAGTATACATACTGAGCACGTGCACACACAAACAAATAGTTAATGAAAAAGAGGCTATGAATTTGAAAAATAAAGAGGAAGGGTATATGGGAGAATTTGGAGGGAAGAAAAGGAAGGAGGAATGATGTCATTGTATTATAATCTCAAAAAAATTAAATTTACAAACCAAACATAACCTCAACATGAATCACACGTTTTGATGAGTACAGGAATATAGATATGATTAACATACACTAATAGAAATTTTTTATGTATCATAGACTTTTCTATATTGACTCAGTCAATGCTTAGAGCACAGTTAAGAGTTGTTTGGGGGGAAGAAAAGTTCCCTGAATTGGTGACTGTGGGATTGGTGCTGTATTTTCCCATCAAGATTTTACCACACTGAGCAGTAGAGAAGCAGCCATTGGACCTCCATTGCACCTTGCTTCCCCACTGTGATCTGTTGCTGAGTACTCTAGGGAGGTTCATTAGCACACCTCTCTTCCAGCTTGGTAATGCTCTAGATAGGTTTCTACTGCTGTGATAGAACACTTTGACCAACAACATCTTGGGGAGGAAAGGTTCATTTCAGCACACAGCTTGTTGTCCATTATCCAGAAAAGGCAGAGCAGGAACTCAAGGAGGAAGCTGGAGTCAGGAACTGAAGCAAAGGCCATGGAGGAGTGTTACTTACTGGCTTGTTCCCCCTGGCTTGCTCAGCTAGCTTTCTTTTTTTATTGAAAATAGAGGGTTTTTTTCCCTCACATAATACATCTTGCTTATGGATTCCCCTCTTTCTATTCCTCCCAGGACCTGCCCACCTCCTGTCCTATCCAGATCCACCCCCTTTCTGTCTCTCATTAGAAAACAAGTAGGCTTCTAAGGATAATGATCAAATAAGATAAAATATAATAAGATAAAACAAAAACTAACACATCAGAACTGTACAAGACAAACAGAAGGAAAAGAGTCCAAGAGCAGTCACAAGAATCAGAGGCCCACTCGTTCACACATTCAGGAATCCTATAAAAACACTACATTGGAACCCATAATATATACACAAAGGACCTGTAGTGTATAAAGAGTGAAGAAAATACATAAATAAAATATAATTAAAATAAAAAATAGAAAATAAGATTTATTTTTAAATTATAAAAATAAAAATGTTTTAAAAAGAAAACATCCTGACGGAACATTATGAGAGAAGAAACCTTCATATATGCCATTTGTTTGTCTTCTGTTGACCATCTACTGCTGGG